CTGTTTGAGTACTAGTTATAGCATTAAATCTCAATGTACAGCACACTAAGGACAGAGATCCTACATGAGGAGTAAGTGCACAGTGACTCCTGTTGTTGACTTAACAAATTGACACTCCTGTTTATGGCATCAGTAATCACCTCAGGCTCTTGTCATGAGCTGCCAAGGCTATGGAAGTCCCCTGAGTTCACTGACTCTGATCATATCTAGACAAGGCCATGGTCAAAGTGGAAGTTCTCTCCTCCCTTCAGAGAAAGGTACCTCCTTCTTTGATGACCTGTTCTTTCCACTGGGATCTCACTCGCGGAGATCTTTCATTTAGTTTTTTTTTTTTTTTTTCCCGGAGTGTCTTGGTGTCTTGGCTTTCCATGCCTGAAATACTCTCATGGGCTTTTCAGCTGGATCCGCATGCCTTAAGGGCTGATTCTGAGGCCAGAGTGCTGTTTAGGATATCTGCCATTCTACGGGTCTGCTGTGTATCTCACTTCCCATGTTGGATCATTCTCTCCCTTTTTTATTCTATCAGCTAGTATTTGCAGACACTATTCTTGATTATGTGACCCCTTTGGTTATTAGTCCTATCATTATGATCAATTGTGAACAGAACTTGATCACTAGGACTAGTGAGATGGCATTGGTACATGCCACCTTGATGGGATTGAATTGGAATCCCCTGGTATGTTTCTAACTCTACCGTTTGAGGTAAGTCAGCTTGAGCATGTCCCGAATTGCACATCTCTTCCCTCTCTTATTCCCACTCTTACATTTAACAGTGATCACTTTTCAGTTAAGCTTCAGCACTTAAGAAGAATTGTGTATTGATTATAGTATTCAACCAAAAGTATTAAGTAGAACAAACAAAAAAAAATACTAAGAGGGATAACATATTAAGCTGCTCATCAACAGTCAGGGTGAGGGCCGATCAAGTCACCGTTTCTCATAGTCTGCCATTTCTGACATATGGCTTTTGGATTTTTTTCCGTCTCTCCTCCATGTCTCCTGTCATTTCTCTGATAATTTTCATCTCTTCATTCTTTCCCTGTGGATTCTGGGAGAATGGCCCCCAAATTCCTCTTCCTGTCACTGTTCAGTTCCTGCGGACTCCAGCTGCTGGTGCCAGCATCTCACCTCCTTGTGCCTTCACCGGCC